CTTAGGAGTCTGACCTGATACTTAGGTCTCTGCTTTTACCGTGGTAGCTTACAGTAGGAATAGGAATACAAAAAGAGACTGAATAACAGAAGAAGAAAGGAAACACAAAGAACACAATAAAAAGCAAAAACAAAAATAGTTTTTTTGTGATTTTTTATTATGACAGTTTTTAAGTATGTAGAAAAGTGGACAGAGTCGTGCAGTGAACTACCATATACCTGCTACCTAGAGTCCACAGTCGTTGACATTATGTGATTTGCTTTGCCTCCTTATGTAACTATATATAAATCTATGTACATTTTTGTTTTATTTATATTCTAAATTTATGTAAATAAATTTATTTACTTACATAACATTTTGCTTATTTTTTCCACCACTTTAAAGTGGCAGGTGTCATATGTTACCTCTAAATACTTCATACTCATTTCATAAGAATAAGAACATTTGTCTTCATAAACAACATTATGATACCTAAGAAAATAAGCAATAATTTTATAATATCAACTGTTATCAGGTCCATATTCCAGTTTCCCTAATTGTCCCAAGATTGTCTTTTAGAGCTAATTTTTCCCCCGAGCCAGGGTCCAGTCTGATTCCTGGGCTGCGTTTGGCTGTGTCTTTGATCTCTTCATCTAGAATAGAGCTCCCCACTCTTTTCCCTCATGCCTTGACTTTTTGAAGAGTTCAGATCAAGTGCTTTGCAAAATTTCCCATATTGTGAATTTGTTAAGATTGTTTCCTTGTGGTATAATTTAACTTGTTCCTTTATTTCTTCTAATTCTTGTGAAATAGATTTACAGATTTGATTAGATTCAGGTAAAACATACTTGGCAAGAATATTTCTTAGATGATGTTGGCTACTTCAGACATTAGGAGGTACTTAATTTCTGTTTTTGCACTCTTGGTAATCCTAATTTACTTTGTTTAGATGATGGCTACCAGATTTTACCATTTAAAGGTATATTTTCTTCTTTGCTGAAAATAAGCAGTCTTGGCACCTAATGAATATCTTGCTTTTTTATATTTTATTGGTTTTAATATCAATGATCTTTGCCTGAATTAGTTACTACATTGGGGATTATTAAATGGTCATTTTTAAAATTTGACCATTCCTTCTAAATAATTAGCATTCTTCCACAAAAAAGGACTTCAATTTTTTCTCCTTTCACTCTTCTTTTGAAGTATCACTATGAACTGCTGGATTTTTATTTATTTAATTTGCTATTAATTAGAGTCATTCTTTTTGATGCTCAGATTGCCCCAAATTTGGCTGAGAGTCCCCTGCAGAGTTGCTCCTATTCCTTTTGACAAGCCCTCATCTCTCTGCCTTTAAACACTTTCTTGCCTTAAAATAACAAGTTTCAAGGTCACATTGTACTTCCCTACCCCAGAATGGGAATCAGCCGTTTTCTTGGTTCCAAAAAAACATGTTCTTTAAAAAATTAACTATTCTCCCTTTTCTTCTCTCGTGGAGACCTTTCTTCATTTCATCCTGTATTAGATCAGGATTTACTTAGTGAACTATCAGATCTAAGTACCCCAGATACCCGAGGCAAGGGTGGGATGAGGTGATGGGAGTGGTCTCTGCTTCACCAGAGGAATCCTTCCAGTTTAAGACAATCACTTAGTGCTTGAGCAGCTCACTACCAGTATATCCTGTCTCCTGATCCTTCTCCTCCCACCCCTGATGTTTCCCTCATACAGAGTTTTCTTTCATCTCCCTATTCATTCTGCTTCCAGCTTTAGTTTTATTTTTCTATATAAATGCATTTTGGAGTTAAGGCTTTAAGCTTTGAAAATGACCATTTCCAGCAGCCCATTTCGGGTAACTAATTTGATGTTTAGGTTTTGATATGATCGTGCTTAATATTAATTTATACTTATGTTACCTTCTGAAGCTTCCTTTGATGGGGTCGTGATGGCCACTGTTTCTCCCAGTTCTGGAACGGTGCTTGGGCAGGCCGGCCGTGTGCTAAGGTCCCAGCATGGCTGGTGCACACCTTCCCTGAGGTTCAGCCTCCTACAGCTGTTGCATTCTTTTCTGTCAGTTGGCCAGGACTGAGTTAAATATGTCTCCTTCCTCACTGTACTCCCTCCCCTAAATCCATTAAGAAGGCATTTTAACCACATTTTCCTAACATAAATCTCTCTCTCCAGATGGAGGTTTGAAGTCTCATTGTGCTAGGAAGGAAGGAAAATTACTGTTTTGCATGTACATATATTTTGGATTTTACAGGAAAGGGGAGGGCATTTCAAAATCTGGTGAATCAATACAGATATAAAAAATTGATAAAGTTAGGACGGCCTGTTTTTATATTCTGCCACATAGCATGTGTTTAATGAATTTGCCTATAATTTGTCTTCAAATGCTGACATTTAACTCTTAGGCTGTATAATTGTGCTGGCTTTTTCAAGAATAAAATTCATATTCTGTGTCCAGGCTAATATGTTCACCCACTATAAACATTACTGCCTATGGTAACAGCTAGAATAAGAAATTCTTTTTATGTACATCATAGCTGGCAGAGACTCTTGGGACCGTCACAAATCATTCTTGTCTTTTGGAGCTTGCTGAGAAAAAGCATGGAAATGTAAAACTAACCCAGTCTGATATAGATTGACTTTGAAAAACATATTAGCTTATTTAGACCACTGTTCATTGTTTTATCGTTGTTTTTTTTTAAGATACAGAGTATTAAACAAGCTCTTCTATTTAATGGATTCTTCAAGCGTAGAAACCTACCCTTTCATTACGAGCCAGCTCCTCTTCTGTAAGCCATCTCTGGCTCCTTTTTTGTTAAAGGTTAATAATGAGAATAATGAAGTAATTGGTTATTTATGCAGTCATGATTGGCAAAAGTTATTAGAACAGGAATCTGCCCAGAAGCAATGATTAGGTTATGAAAATGTTAAGAAGAACACTGAAGCCAGTCACCATTTTTGACATTTAAGAAGTATTATTCCCACCCTTAATCATGATGACCTGTTGTAAAAGTATTTATACAGAATAATCTTATTGGACAGTAATTTTCATGCCAACAGCATACATAATTAAGTGTTGAGGGAGATTTCAGAAATGATATGAGAGAAAAATGGGCCTGGGGAAGAAATACCATGATGAGAAGTAACAGAACTCTTGCATGTCTCCCAGACTCCTGATCTGTGCAGTTAGGTGACCTTTCCAATTTAGTGTCTTCGTCTTGAGCACTTTGCAAGTTTGAGGAGCAGTGGGAGGGCACCCCAGGTTAGGTTGCTATGTTCTTTCTAATGGACTATAAAACATGTAGGGAGGTACATGGGCAGGAGATTTCCTGATGCTGCTTTTATTAATGAAACATTGACTTAACTCACATTATGCAAAACCAAACCAATAGGGCAAAAATCTACTTATAATCCTGTTGTGTTTAACATAGTTAGACTTTCTATGTAAATTAGGCAGTAATTACTTTCACCAGAGCAGTATCATCACTTCTATGCTGCAGTTTTTGGTAACAGCTTTATTGAGACATAATTCACATGCAGTGAAAATGACCCTTTCGAAGTATACAATGCAGTGGTTTTGAGTATATTCCCAAAGCTGTGCAAAGATGACTGTCAATTCCAGAGCATGTTCACGACCTCCTCCACAAAACTGATACCCGTTAGCAGTTGCTCCCTATTTCCCTCCCCCATCTTACAGCGACCACTAATGTACTTTGTTTGTGTCTGTGGGTTTTCCTATTCTGGACATTTTTTGCTTTTTTTTTCTTTTTCCTTAAACGTTTCTCATTATAATAGGTACTTAAGAAAATTGGAGAAGATAGAAAGTGAATATGAATGGATGTAACTCTTACTTGTGAACTAGTGTACTTAGAACTAAGTATTCTCCCCCGTCCTTTTTTTTGTCTATAATTCCTTCTTGTTTTATTTTTCCTGATTATAAGCGCAGTGCGCTTTCAACAACACCAATACACGTAGAATATGTAGACTTTTGTGTCTGGCTCTTTTAGCGTATAATGTATTCAAGGTTCATTTATATCGTAGCATGTAACAATACCTTGTTTCTTTTTATGGCTGAATAATATTCCACTGAATAGGTGTACCACATTTTGTTTATCCATTCATCATTTGGTAGACATTTGGGTTATTTTTACTTTTGCACTATTATGAATAATGTTGCTCTGACTACACATGTAGAAGTTTTGATGTGAATGTATATTTTCAGTTATCTTGGAGAACTGGACTGCAGTTGTTCGGTCATATGATAACTCTGTATCTGACTTTTTGAGGCACTGCTAAATTATTTTCCAGAGCAGCAGCATTTTACATTCCTGTCAGCTATGTAGGAGGGTTCTAATTTCTCCATATCCCAGTCAGTGCTTGTTATTGTCAGTCTTTTTGACTATAGCCATCCTAACAAATGCAAATTGGTATCTCATTGTGGTTCTGATTTGCATTTCCCTAATGGCTAATGATGTGAAGCATCTTTTCTTGTGCTGCTTGGCTATTTGTATATTTTCTTTTGGAAAATGTCTATTCAAGACCTTTGCCCATTTTTTTAGATTAATAGCTTTTTTATTGTTGAGTTATATAAGGTCTTTATATGCATGGATCCAGGCCTTTATCATACATATGACTTGTGATTATTTTCTCTCATTCTGGAGGTTGTCTTTTCTTTTCTCAATAGTGTCCTTTGAAGCACAAAGTTTTAAAATTTGAAGTCCAGTTTATTTAGTTAGTCTTTGGGAGCTGTGCTTTTAGAGGACCGTTGCCTAATCCAAGGTCACAAAGATTTGCTTTATAGTTTTAGCTATTACATTTAGGTCAGTTGATCCAGTTTTCAGTTAGTTTTCTATACAGTGTGAGGTAGGGTTCCAACTTCATTCTTTTGCATATGTTTGTATTTATTTATTTATTCAGATTTAAAGATTTGAGAAAATTTTCTCATTAAATGGAATGAACATTACTACTCTATGAATTATTCCATTTATTGGCTTTTTCCCCTTAATTTGCTATCTCACCTCTTCAACTACAGTATAGAGAGTGCCAAGAACTTCTAAGCCTCTATCAGAAATATCTGTCGGAACAGCAAGAGAAGCTCACTATGTCTCTCTCAGAACTTGGTGCTGCTAAAATGCAGGAACAACAGGTAAGCATCTTTTTTCTTACCTTTTCTTGTCTTTAATGGATCCACAAGATGTCAGAAGAGTCATTTGCCTTTTACTGTAATTGTCTCACAGTATCTAATATTGTCTTAAGATGTGCAAGTACAGCACGTGATTGAGTTGGTGTCATTTACTTCTGCTTGCCTTTCCCTCTCCTGTTCCTGCAGCCCAGAGGACAGGACTGATTGCTTGAAGTAGGCTCAGGGTCAGTGGGGAGGCTCCTGGTTGTATGAAAGCACAGCAGGAGTGGTAAAGAAAACCCACCACTCTGTTACTTAATGAAGATCAGCTGGGCTGTTTGTTACTCGTAAGCCTCTTCTAAGTCATATTTAGTGTTTTAGAATAATGAAAAGTGCTTTGGTGACTTGTAAAAGCTTTAATTGGAGAAAACTGGAATATTGTGCATGATTTTGTGTTTGTATGTATGTATTAATCACATCAGTATATATGAGTGTTTTGCATATTAGCATTTATATACATATCATCAAATAGTGTATATTATACAATTAACTGAATGTTCAGAACCCTGCCAGCTGTGATGTGAAACAAGCTCTGAGGACTTACTTCTTGCCCTCTAGCAAGTGATACTGGATGTCCTTTTCATGTCCAAGTGAATGTAAATCTTCAAATGGATGAGAATAGCCTTTGTATTAAAACATTGTAGAAAAAAACTATATAGTAGGGTCAGTCATTCATATCAGTATTAAAACATGGATAATGTACCAGTAAAAATGTATCCTCTCCCTTTGAATAGTAACATGTCCTGAATGGTTTTCTGTAAACTTTCTATGGTTGAACTGTTTTGTTCAACCTAGAGACAGCTGTCTCAAAAGAACTAAGAATTTTGGCCAAGAAAATTCCAATTTTGAACCTCAAGTTTGGACATATGGAAGAGTAGAAAGGAAAAGAAAGAAGAAGAATTTCACCGGAATATGGTATAGCTTAGGCTTTTAACGGATTCCCCCCCTTTTTTTTGAAGTCATAACACTTATAGGAAATGGTCAGACTATGAATGGTTTGTTTGTATTTTGACTTGAAATATTTTCTTTTGTTCTGTTTTCTGAAAACCTAGGCTATAAAATGGGACAGAAGAAAATGACAGTTAATCTTAGTTGTTTGTCTGGATCTCTCCTGCCACGGGGGAAAAGGGCAGGGAGTCGTGAGGGTGGCCCTTACCTGGTGCTCTCATGGGTGGACTACAGAAAATTGTAGCATGAAGATCAGATTGATGCCCTTTGGTTTTGCTTTTCTAGCCCCTCCCTCTCCATGACAGAGATGTGTGCAAGGGCACAGAAATGAAGGGCGGCCCACTTGGCAAGCATGTTGGAGGAGAGAGAGGGGGATTTTTCAGTTGGCAGTAGTTAAGGACATAGACTGAGAGTCAAGAAATAGTCATTAAGGGGAATCTAAGGACAACCAGATAAGGAGACCTAACCCTTTTTCTATCTATTTCTGAAATTGGTGAAAAATAAAACTTTCTGAAATGTTAGTGTTTAATATTTAAGCTAGTGATTCTTGGAGGTTTCCCTAGAGACCAATCATAGTTAACACTGCCTCTCCTAAGCTAAACCTTGAGAAGGAAACATGAAAAAAAAAATCACAAATACTAGAAAGAAATTGTTCATCAAAGGTATGGAGAAAGTATACTCTCAAAAGGAGATACTTTTGAATTTGAATTTTCATTTTGACTTAATCGTAAGAAAATTTATAAAACCATGTTTTCAGAAAGTGTCTGGTGGTCACACTTTAGATCGTGTCTTATATACAATGAAAATGAAATTGAGGCCACCTATAGGCCTCTTTGAACCTAAAGAGGGAAAATAAGTTTCTTTTTGAATGCCAAATGGAGATTGTCACCTTGTCTCCTGTGCTGTCTGATTTACTCTCTCTGATGGGCTTCTCTTAGCTGCGCAGATGAGCGCCTTCTCACTCACCCTCATGGGAACTGGGTGATTTTGGTCGACGAGCCCACTTCCGGTTAGGAAGGGCGTCACTGTGGACACTTGAGCCTGAAGAAGGACGTGGTAAAGTTAGACGTCTTCTTTATGTGCTCACTAAGTGGCAAAGAAACCAACTCAAAGGTGTTATGCTCTTTGGGTATCTGTAGTATAATATCTGACTCAGTGTACTGCCAAGCTCCTCGCCCAGTAAAAGTTTTGTGGATAGAACAATGTGATTAACCGCTGACTTCTCACCAGAAACAGCAGAGGAAAGAGGCAGTGGGATGGCATATTCAAAACGCAGGAAGGAAAAAACGAACTAGCAGTCAAGCAAAACTGTCCTTCAGAAATGAAAGTGACATAAAGACATTCCTAAATAAATAAAGACAGAAAATTCATTGCTAGCTTACCTGCCTTAAAATAAATGCTAATATAAGTATGTTCAGATGAAAGAAAATGACATAAAACAGTAACTTAAAGTCACACAAAGAAGTCGATTGCTGGTAAAAGTAGTTATGTGTCTCTCTTTTCTTAAATAACTTAGAAGACACCCGAATAAAACAATAATTATAAAACTGTATTGTTGTTGAGCTCATAAGATACAAAGATGTTGTACGTGCATATGTGTATGTGTGTATTTGCACAAATGGAGGGGACAGAGGGAGCTCTACTGGAGCAAATTTCCTGTGTATTGCTGGAATAAAACTGTCTTTATCCATAGACAACATGATCCTGTATGTAGAAATTCTTAAGGAATCCCCCTAAAAACTGATAGAATTAACAAACAAGTTCAGCAAGGTTGCAGGATACAGATTAGTATGCAAAAGTCATTTCTATGTGCTACCAATGAACAATTCAAAAACGGATATATTTAATAAAAGCAGCACAATAAAAACACTGAAAATAACAAAACATTGCTGAGAGAAATTTAAGATCTAAGAAATTATTCCATGTTCATGGATTGCAAGACTCAATGTTGTTAAAATGACAATTTTTCCTAAATTAGTCTAAAGGTTTGTTGCAATCTCTATCAGATTTCCAGCAGAGTTTGACGTTTTCTTTTTTGCAAAAATTGGTAAGATGATCCTGCAAAGGAATAATAATAGTCAAAAACAATTTGAGAGAGAACAGTAAAGTGTAAGGTCACTCTTTCTAATTTTAATGTTTACGCTAAAGGTACAGTAGATAGAATTATAACCTGACTTGTATGCCTTTTGACTCCTGGTGAAATGGTTTTACTCCCATGACTATGTTATGTTGTATAGTAAAAAGATTATTTTGATGTGCCTAACCTAATTACATGAGAAAAGTGGAGCGTTTTCCCCAGGTGGGAGCAAAAGGGAACGAGAGATTTGAAGCATAAGAAGGATTCAAATACCATTGCTGGCTTTAGAGGTGGAAGGGGTTAGGAGCCAAGAATGGTCTCTGACCAACAGCAAGAAAATATAATTTAAGTCTTACAACCACATGGAACTGTATTCTGTCAACAACCTGAATGAACTTGCAAGCAGGTTCTTCCTCAGATATTTCCAGTTAGAGACCTGCCGAGCTGATAATCCTGATTTCAGTCTTGTGAGACACTAAGCAAAGAACCTAGCCAAGCCTGCCTGAGCTCCAGGCCTACAGAACTGTGAGGTAATAAATTTGTGTTACTGTAAACCACTACGTTTGTGGTAATTTGTTATACAGAAATAGAAAGCTAATGATGGACATATAGATCAATGAAACAGAACTGTGAATTCAGAAATAAACTCTGGCAATTATGGTCAATTGATTTTCAACAAAGATGCAAAGGCAATTCAATGGGGAAAGAATAATCTTTTCAACAAGCATTGATAAGACAGTTGGAGATGTGCAGACAAGATCAATTTAGACCCTTCACGCCATGCACAAAAAGTAACTTCAGTATTATTCCAACATTTAGGACACCTCTTTTGAAACCTAATTCATATATTGGTTCTCATCAGTATCAGGTTTTGGTCTCCTTCAGGTGCAGTGCTTTTTACACATACTGCAGTGACCACCTGAGCTTGAACACTGATCGCAACATGTCATCTAGTCTTATGTAATTAATAGTAATCACAAGTATTGCCTTTGATTAAGAAAATAGAGTATTACTTTTATGATACATGAAATCCTTAATAAGAAAAGAAAAAGACTTTAAAGACTTAGACACAGACAGGAGACCATAAATCTCCTAGAAGAGAACATAGGCAAAGCATTCTCTGACATAAATCATAGCAATGCCTTCCTAGGTCAGTCTACTAAGGCAATAGGAAAAAAAAAGCTTTTTTATAAAAATAAAAGCTTATTTATAAAAAAATAAACAAATGGGGCCTAATTAAACTTACAAGTTTTTGCACAGCGAAAGAAACCATAAACAAAATGAAAAGACAACCTACAGACTCAGAGAAAATATTTGCAAGTGATGGAACTGACAACGGCTTAATTTCCAGAATGTAGAAATTGTTCATATAGCTCAATAAGAAAAAAACAAACAACCCAATCACAAAATGGGCTGAAGACCTAAACAGGCATTTCTCTAGTGAAGACATACAGATGGCCTATAATAGGCACAAGGAAAGATGCTCAGTATCTCTTAATTATCAGAGAAATGCAAATCAAAACTATAGTGAGATATGACATCACACTGGTCAGAATGGCCATCATTAAAAAGTCTATAAATAAATACTAGAGAGGGTATGGAGGAAAGAGAACCCTCCTACACTGTTGCTGGGAATGTAACTTGGTGCAGCCACTGTGGAAAACAGTATGGAGATTCCTTAAAAAACTTAAAATAAGAGTTACCATATGATCCAGCAATCCCACTCCTGGGCATATATCCTGAGAAAACTCTAATTCAAAAAGATACATGCACCCCAGTGTTCATGGCAGCACTACTTACAATAACCAAGACATGGAAGCCACCTAAATGTCCATCAAGAGAGACCGAGCAAAGAAGGCAACGCTTTATCAAAATGCAGAAGACCTAGCCGAAATGTAAATAAGGACAACTATAATAAAGAAAATGAGAATGACTCTAATGA